TAAAATACAATTTTCTGGTCTTATGACCTATATTTTTGTTTTCTTATGCCAAATTTTACGCAGTGACTAAACATGAATGTAATTATTTGTATGCCAAATGTAATTTATTTATGAAATGATCATAAGATTAACTTGGGTGAAGAATAACTTATTCTACACCCTGGGTGATGAACTGGCCTGCACTTTTTGTACTAAAATATGAAATTCATAGTAAAAAATATATATGATCATTTTATATTTGTTTATGTAAACTGTCTCCACTTTTTAAACTAAAATATTAAGTTATTTTAAAAACTTATTAAGAAAATAAAATATTGTTTGATTCTTTATGGGAATAACACATTAATGGACCGGTGCCAAGTCCCTAAGTAAACATGCAGCCCGCTTGGTATTATTACTAGATAGAAGGGCCTCCAGCCCACAAGCAATTAGCGGCCATTTGCGTTCGCCGTCTAGCCGCAGTGCCCGCACCCCCCACTGCCGCCGCCAGCTCGTCGCAGTCCCCGCTTCCGCCACCGGTCCGCCAATCATGGCACCACCGCCATATGCGTCTCCGGCGCCTAATCTCCCCTCCTTCCCCGCTCATTCCAAGTGACCATCGCAAGCGGCCGGAACCTCATCGCGCCGTCGCGGCCACCCTCCCCTGATGAGTTAGGTTACAGTTGGCCTTGGTTTTGGACTGTGTATAGACAGGGTAAGAGTTGTGTCCTAATAGGACACTTGTATCCTAGGCATCATATATAGGGGGTAGAGACACGATATAACCTATGCCAACATAATAGCACGGACACGCGTAGGAGCCGGCGGCGTGTGCCGGCGCCCGGGCGGCCGGAGTGCGGTATTGTAGCGGTGTCATGGGGAGGATCGCCCGTAGTCATGCCCCGGGGATATAGCCATATCGATGAACCTCGTTAACAAATCTCGATGTCGTGCCTTGTGTGATTGCTTGGTCCTCGATAGATCGACGAAGTGCATTAGATTTATTCTAACATTTCAAAATTACAAAAAAACAAATTTTCCCATGTGCATTATTTTTTAAATATATTAATATTTGTCTTGCGAGTATATGAATATATTTTTCGTATGTAGGGACATTTTTTTAACGTGAGACAAATATTATATATATAAGTATTCAGATATATGATCATTTATTTATTTACTTATGTAAACTGTCTCCACTTTATACTAAAATATGAAATTGTTTGAAAAACTTATTTAAAAAAGAAAATATTGTTTGATTCTCTATGGGAAAAACACATTAATGGGCCGCGCTAGTGGCGAGCTTTGAGCGGTTTAAGTCCCCAAGTAAAACCTGCAGTCTTGTGTTCAAAAAAAGAAAAGTAAAACCTGCAGCCTGCTTGGGAGTATTATTTTACTAGATAGAAGGGCCTCCAGCCCACAAGCAAGTCGCCGGCTCGCCGTAGTGCCCGCACCCCCCACTGCCGCCGCCGGCTCGCCGCAGTCCCCACTGCCGCCGCCGGTCCGCCAATCATGGCGCCACCGCCATATGCGTCTCCGGCGCCTCGTCTCCCCTGCCTTCCCCTCCCCTTCCAGGCGACCATAGCAAGCGGCCGGCACCTCATCGCGCCGTCGCGGCCACCCTCCCCTAATTTCCCCCGCCTGTCGCGCTCGCCGTCGGTACGTGCTCGTCCCACCCACTCGAGTTGACAAATCGGATGCTGCCTTACAATTTTTCCTTCTGAAGCAACGGCTGCCGCCTGATAAGGGGACAGTGTGCCGGCACGTCGCCGCGACGACCCCGCCGGAGCTCCATCTGACGGTAACCCGTTCCTTAGCAGTTGGCACGCACCTTTCGTCCAACATGTACTTCCCAAGCTTCCTGCCGAAGAGCGGCGAGTCGTCAACGATGCTGAGATCTGACATTAATTTCTGCACCATCATGTTGCAGTGTTGTGTCAGTTTGTCTGATGGCGTGGCTGTGTGAGATCCAAGCCCCCGGACTATTACTACCATGGCACATTTATGCCGACGAGGACTGCGACGGCACTCCGGTCACCCGATGGTTGCGAGTCGACCTCGGTTTCTTGGTGTGTTTGATACAGGCAACACATCCATGGCTTTGACATGGAGCATTTCTTGGTCCCTTAATTCCCCACAAAGACCAGCAGCTAGCAGTTTCATATCTCCAAGCAAGCAAATCATTCCAGAGCATTTCTCTCATACCATCTCCTTGCTTTGCCCTTCACAAGCATATGCGAAAGAAGGCTTAATGGGAATGACTCTGCTCCCATTTTTTATCCTCCTACCATTGATTTGTCTCTGCAAATCCGATGACCGCCTAACACCTGGGAAGCCACTCTTGCCTGGCGACAAGCTTGTCTCCAACAATGGCATATTTGCTCTTGGTTTCTTCTCCCCAGAAAACTCCACCTCAAACTCATATGTAGGCATATGGTACCACGACATCCCGGAGCGGACATATGTGTGGGTGGCCAACCGCGACAACCCAATCGGCAGCGGTTTGTCCGGAAAGTTGGTTCTCACCAACAGCTCTGATCTTGTCTTGTCGGATTCCAGGGGCCGTATCCTTTGGAGGACGACGAACAATGTCACCGCCAGGGCTGATGGGGCTGTGGCGCTGCTGCTCGAGGGGGGGAACTTTGTCCTCCAGTTGCAGAATTTCACGCAGATATGGCAGAGCTATGATCACCCGACCGATACCATCCTCCCCGGCTTCAAGTTATGGGCAAACTACAAGACCCACACAGCAGTGCACATCGTTGCTTGGAAGGGCTCTCAAGACCCATCCACCGGGAAATTCCTCCTCAGTCGTGACCCCAGCACGGGCCTCCAGATTCTCACCTGGCGCGGGACAAGCAAATACTGGCGCAGCGGACTGTGGAACGGTGCAGAAGCCTCGGACAAGAATGGATACATGTGGTCCCAGAACGTCGATGACGGAGAGACCATCTACTCGACGTACAACACGGGCAACAGCTCCTCCCGGAGATCCCACTGGAAGCTGGACTACACGGGCGACTTGATGCTCAGGATCTGGAGTGGCCAGTCATGGGTGGTTCTGTTCAAGCGCCCAGGTGATGGCTGCCGCCAATACGGCTCGTGTGGTCCGTTTGGCTACTGCAACATGCCCACCAGGGAGTGCAGGTGCCTTGATGGGTTCGAGCCGGCGGACGGCTTCAGTGCCAACTTCTCCAGAGGATGCGTGAGAAAGGAGGAACTGACATGTTGTGGTTACCATTTCTCGGCCTTGCCTGGGATGAAGGTGCCTGATAAGTTTGTGTATGTGAGGAGCGGAAGCTTCGAGGAGTGCACTGCTCAGTGTGAGCGTAACTGCTCCTGCACTGCGTACGCTTACGCCAACTTGAGCAGTATTGTCGCAACTGGTGGCCCATCAAGATGCTTGGTCTGGACAGGGGAGCTTGTTGACTTAGAGAAGACAGGCGTACTTGGTGGCAACCTGTACCTTCGGCTTGCTGGCTCTCCTGGTATGTATTGTTCCATACTTCCATGGCTGCTTGAACTCTTTTAACCTGCAGTGTAGTCTGAGTGTCAGCGTGTGAAACTACGAACACCAGCCTTTCCTACCCAGGACATATAGTTGTTATCATCGAATAAACTCATCAGTTAGCATTTCTTTCAGAATTGTGTTGGTTGGCTAATTTTCCAGCTCACACACTTGTAACACTGCACTAGTTAGCCAGTTACTTTTGGTGTCTGCAAATACTCAATTCTAAAACAAAATCTGTAACTATATTTGAGATCCGAGATGCATTTTACTATCTTCTTTGGTATTATATGCAAGTAAATCGGTATCTTCTACTCATTTAGAAAAAAGTAAATGTGTACTCGCACAAGCTATGCTTGAATCTTGATGCAGTACTCTTTTCATTATTTTCTTGACAGGACACAACAGGAAGAGTGGTATCGGTGTGTTATTAAAGATTGCATTCCCAGTTATATCGTTCCTGCTGATATTCTCATGCATATATCTTGTCTGCATATGCAAGCGAAGAGGTAGAATAAGGGACTCCAGTTTCCTCTAATAAGATGTTCATGTAATAGTGCTGAGTGGTGAGATTACTCATATTTCTGCAGGGATACAAGTAAACAAAGAAAGCTGGAAAAGACCGGCCCCGGATCACTCGAGCACTTCGCAAGAAGTTTGGGATCAAAATTTTGAATTGCGTTCTATTAGGTTCGAAGACATCGCCACTGCAACAAACAGTTTCCATGACACGAACATAATTGGAAAAGGAGGTTTCGGCAAAGTTTATAAGGTTGTAAAATTTTGATCTTGTCAATTAATTACAACATGGGAAAATCTGTATAATTTCCTCCTTGTTAATTTGTTCCAATAATTATGGAATTACACAGGGAACACTAGAAGATGGAAAGGAAGTTGCTGTTAAAAGGCTTAGCAAGGGTTCTGAGCAGGGTATAGAGCATTTTATAAATGAAGTGGTTCTTATTGCCAAATTGCAGCACAAGAATCTAGTTAGACTTCTTGGCTGTTGTATTCATGAGGATGAGGAGTTGCTTATTTATGAATACTTACCCAACAAAAGCCTAGACAAGTTTCTTTTTGGTATGTTCTAATCGCATACTCAAGAAAGTAGTCTCTGAATGGCTTACTAGATGCCTTGCACTCATGTACATACACATCCTGTTCTTTGGCAGATACTGCAGGGAAGTCTATACTTGACTGGCCAAGAAGGTTCAACATAATCAAAGGGGTAGCTAGAGGGCTTATGTATCTCCACCAGGATTCGAGAATGACGATAATCCATAGAGACCTCAAACCAAGCAACATCCTGCTAGATGTGGAGATGAACCCGAAAATATCAGATTTTGGAATGGCAAGGATCTTTGGAGGAAACGAGCAACAGGAAAGTACCAGATGAGTTGTTGGAACGTAGTAAGTAACTCTTGCACTAGCTCTTGGTCTCAAAAAATTATTTATGCGCCTGAAATACCTCAAGCTGCACACATGCTTGTGAAATGATTTAAACAGTGGGTACATGTCGCCTGAGTATGCGATGGAGGGCATCTTTTCTGTCAAGTCCGACACCTACAGCTTCGGTATTTTGCTACTAGAGATTGTAAGTGGATTAAAGATCAGCTCACCTCATCATCTTGTGTTGGACTTTTCAAACCTCGTATCATTTGTAAGTGTTATGTATGGTGTTTTGAAATCCTTCAGATTCTGATAGCTCAACCAGAAATATAGTATTAGCAAATATAAATTATGAATTTCGCCATGCTGTTTCAGGCATGGAACTTGTGGGCAGATGGAAGAGCGAGGGATTTCATGGACACAGCCGTCACGGAGAGCTATTCGCTTGATGAAGTGTCCAGGTGCATCCATGTTGGGCTCTTGTGTGTCCAGGACAGTTCCAGTGCTAGGCCACACATGTCATCGGTCGTTTCCATGCTCGACAGTGAAGCCATTCCTCGTGCACCGCCAGAGCAACCTGGGTATTTTGCACGGACAAACTACGAAACCAGTGAAGTGATGGAAGACACAGAGAACTCTGCCAATGGCGTGAGCCTTACGGCGCTAGAAGGACGATGACCCCCGTTCGCTGCTGCATGCATGTAACGAGAAGTAGGACAATTGAGTTGTCTCAATAAGGCACTGCTTGATAGGCAATGCTATTTGAGGGACCGCCCACCATAAGTAGATTATCCGGTCAGCACAAGGTGATATTTGCACATATGTGGAGGGCCGCCATCCATGTCACCGGGTACAACTAATCTCCACCTTGTCGTCACTTTGCTCATGTAAAACATCATATTAATTCTTCTTAGTTTATTTCTCTGTCTAGTCTAGTACTCCCTCCGATCCAACAAAAAGTGTCGCGACTTTAGTTCAGCTTTAATTCAAATTTGAACTAAAGCATGCCACCTTTTTTTGGATCTGGGGGAGTATTTATTTTACGTTATAGCAATACTTAGTTAAACTCTCCTCTTTTACCATTTACGTTATAGCAATACTTAGTAAAATCATTTCCAAACTCCGGCTTGAGTGCGAGCTTAGGTGTGTTTGTGATAATGTACCTGCAGGGTTGGTAGTTATCTTTTTATAAGTTATCTATGGCTTCGGCACATGAACTGGGCAAATACTTCGCGTGAATTGTGCTTGACTCTGTGCACTTGCAAACATCAACCCCCAATACTCCCTCCCCCCACCCCCTAAACGCCTGGGGGGAGCGCTCCTGGCGCCTGCAGCGCCCCGTGCTGGGCCGGCCCACGAGATGCGCAGACCAGCGAATGCATAAAAATCTCGCAAAAAAAAGGCAAAAAATACTGCTCCCTACAGGTTTCAAACTCACCACATTGAGTTAACATACAGGTGCCACCAGCCACACGAGCTACTGCATGTTTGTGGTTAGTAACAGATGCAAATGCGTTATAAGAAGGTCGCATCGCTATTTCTTCATTTTGGAAGAAATGTTCACAAACCTGAAAAAAGTTCATTGATTTTGAGAAAAGTTTATCTTAATTGGAAAAAGTTCATTGAATCTGAAAATAGTTCATTGAATTTGAGAAAAGTTCATCTTAATTGGAAAAAGTTCATCGAATCTGAGAAAAGTTCATCGAATTTGAGAAAAGTTCATCATAATTAGGAAAAGTTCATCGCATCTGAAAAAAAGTTCATCGATTTTGAAAAAAGTTCAGCAGGTTTGAAAAAATTACATCAAATTTTTAAAAAAGTTCATCAAAGTTTAGAAAAGTTCATTGAATTTGGAAAAAGTTCATCAATTTTGAAAAAATTCAAAACAAAGTTCATTGATTCAGTCGAAAGAATTACGCATTTTTAAAAAACCGCACATTAAAGAAAACAAAAGAGGATGAGAAAAAAAGGAAAAACAAGAAAAGAACTAAACCGCACTCAAGAATGAAATAAAAAAGGAAAGCAAAGAAAGTTTGTAAGAGCATGCGGATGGTCTTATGGTTAGAGCGTAGCCCTAGTAAAGATAAAGAAGGGGTCGCGGGTTCGAATCCTTTATTTGCCCACTGTTTTTACTAATTTTAACAGAAAAATACAAGGAAGGAACTGGGCCGGCCCAAATCGTGGCGGGGGGTGTGCGCTGCAGGCGCCCGTTAGCAAAATGCCATATAACGGGCGCCTGCAGCGCCAAATAGGGTTTGCCTAGCCTGGGCAGGGAACATCTTATTTGACGCTAACTGCGTCAAAATGTCGACCGTTCGCACAGGGCGATCCCCCCGAGCGCGAGTACTGGGCCGGCCCACTTTCCCACAGCGAGGCAGCCGGTTTTGGGAACCTTCCAGAAGGTTCCCTGAACCGGGTTTTCTATTTTTACACCAGTTTTTTGTTTTTTTTGTTTTACTGTTTCATTTATCTTTTCCGTTTTTTTTCTGTTTTCTTTTTTCTGTTTCCGGTTTCTTTTGAAAATTGTTCAGAAAATTCAAAAATTGTTCGTGTTTCTAAAAAATGTTCGCATTTCAAATTTTTTTTTGGGCATTTCAGAAAATGTTCTTGTAACTATTTTTTGTTCACATATTCAAAAAATGTTCACGCTTCCAAATTTGTTCGTACTTTTTTCAAAATTTGTTCTCTAGATTCAAAAAATGTTCGTGCTTTAATAAATTGTTCGTGCTTCCAAATTTGTTCAAGATTTTTCAAAATTGTTCTCCAATTCAAAATTTTGTTCTCAAGATTCAAAAAATGTTCGTGCTTCAAAAAAAGTTCACGCTTACAATTTTTTTCTCAAGATTCAAAAATCATTCGTGCTTTGAAAAATTGTTCACAAATTCCAAAAATGTTCATGTTTTCTAAAAATCTTTGGGAAATTCAAAATTTGTTCGTTTTCATAAAATTTGTTCACATATTAAAAAATGTTAATGTTTCAAAATTTGTTCACAAATTCAAAAAATTGTCCGCATGTTTAATTTTTTCACTAATTCAAAATTTTGTTCCTGTTTCCGAAAGTTGTTCACATATTCCAAAAAATACTGCAGTTTTGAAAATTTGTAATTGGCTTAACTGGTTTTAATTTAGGGACTTGGCCGAATTGGTTTTTACTTTTCGCCGCTGTGGCCGTTTATTTAAGCTCCCGCTGCTTTTCTTCAAAGTAACTGGCCTGGCACAGTGGCTAGAGCAGAGCGTGCGACTATGTAAGGTCGAGGCTTCGAATCCCCATCACAGCACTTCTTTTTTGGCGAATTTTTCATTCCTTGACAGACAGCGAATGGGCCGGCCCAGGTGCACGTCCCCTGTGCGTCGCGCGACCTATTGGCCGCAAAATGCGGCATATAGGAGGTCTCCCTGGCAGTGCCCAAACAAAAAACAAACACTCAACGGGACCCCTCAAAGCCGGCCCAAACATCCGGGCCGTCCAGCTCCCCTCAAACCCAGCCCATATGTTGGTGGATTTAGGGCCGCCCGGGCGCGTCCTCCACATTGCACCTTCCACCCCGATCCCACAAATACCCCATCCATATCCGCATCCGGACCAAACCCTAGCCATTTACCACTCCACTCCATTTCACTTCACTTTCAGTCCGCTCTGCCCAACTCCTCTCTGGTGATCTTTCGCCATTTTTGGCATTTCGGGCATCGGATCTGAGTCCAATAACTTTGGATCCAACGACTGGACCTTGTCCCCTGCATGGACGAGGAACATATAGCTGTCCGACTGGCTTGCCGCCGGTTTCGAGAGAATATTCCAGCTTTGGTGGGGCTTAGAACCAGCAGCGGCAATGTGCCTGTTGGCGGCTCAAACCGCGTGTCCGCTCTGGATCTGGCACCGATGAGGGTGGTTGGAGGTACATGCACGCCCTTGAGGACGGCCCTGCAGCATCCGAGCAACCCGGATGCTAGGTCTTTGTCCCCATGCCGGCTGGCTCTAGTCTGAGGTCAGCGGTGCCAATGCACACGACCAAGGATACTCTGGATGCTCCACCTATGGCGGAAAGGCAAGGTCGCGGCATGGTGTGCCCATCGTGAGCACTACAAAAAAAGACACATCCGTGACATTTTGGGCCGAACGAATTTTTTTTCTGTCATACATATGGCACTTCTATGATGATAATTGTGACAAAACCCGGTATCATCATAGATGTGGTGGGCTTCTACTTCTATGATAAAAAATCATGACAAAAAATGGGCTTTTCGTCTTGGGCGGGCTGGAGACGCAGCTGCATGATATTATTTGGGCCATCCATGACGGGAAAAACCGTGGTAGAAGCGAGGGGGAGGAAAATTTCGGGGAGTTGCCGGTTACGGTGGGAGGTCGGGGGCGGAGCGATGCGCGTTTCTCTCGTACGTAAGCGCGTGTGTGCGAGGCGTTGGCTCTAACTGAAGCCGAGCGAGGCGTTGGGCTCTAACTGAACCCGAGCGATTGCACTGCAGGCTACGCGTTACTGAACCCGAGCGATCGATCGATGGCTGTTAACTAAACCCGATGGAGCGATTCCTTCGCTACTACTGCTAACTGAAGCCGATCGATGCTGCCTCTGGGATGAACAGTGAGCGTTGCGGGGGGAGGGGGGGTTTGGATGAACAGTGAGCGGTGGCGTTGCCTCTGGATGAACAGGAACCCGTGGTGTGGAGGGCTGGATGAACAATAGATGGTGGAGGGGTGGCCGTGGAGGGGTGGTTGAACAGGACCCCGTGGTGTGGAGGGCTGGATGAACAATAAACGATGGAGGGGTGCCCGTGGAGGGGTGGTTGAACAGTAGCCGGTGGAGTAGCGCGCGGTGGAAGCTAGATGAACAGGAGCCCGTGGAGGCTGGAGGAGGTCGCCGGTAGCCCGTGGAGGCTGGAGGAGGTCGACGGTGGAGATGAACAGTATCCCGTGGAGTCCCGTTTTGCGGTACGCCACACCCCTCCCCCCGTTTCGACCGTAACGGTCCAACACAAGTCCGTTTCGTCCGTTTTGCGGTACGCCACACCCCTCCCGATCAACAAGACCTCCGTTTCGACCTTAGCGCTCCAACACAAGTCCGTTTCGACCGTTTTGCGGTACGCCACACCCCTCCCGATCAACAGGACCCCCATTTCGACCGTAGGAGGTCCGTTTCCTTCGTTTTGCGGTACACCAGGCCCCTCCCGATCAACAGGACCCCGTTTCGAACGTGGCCGGTCGAACACAAGGCCGTTTCCTCCGTTGTGTGGTACGCCAGGCCTCGTTTCCATCGCCTGTTTTGTCCAAGCCCTCCCGATGAACACGACCATGCATTCCGTTCCGACCCAGCAGGTTGGCTCCCCATGAACACGACGAGGGCGCTGTTTCTCCGTTCCGACCCAGCCATGTACGTATGCGCGATAGGCGTTAGAGACCCTGCCCGTATGTATGTACGTGGCCGTATTTTCTTTCTTGCACCCTCGCCGCTGTACGTACGTGTACATGCTACGTGCGCGCCTCTACATCGACCAGTATGTACGTACACGTTCGCGACCAGAATGACAACACTACGTACGCTTCGACCAGGTGGGTCCCGACTGTTAGGCACTTCCTTGCGTGCGAAGATGTAGCTAGTGGG